ACATCACATATCGAGCTCTACACGACTCAACTGACACAGCCAGCCCGTCCGAGAACACAAAGCTGCAGCAGAGAGACATGCTCGGAAGCTCTTCGCCAGTCTCACGAAGAAGAAGACTCAAGAGGCCTACACCGATGTTATTCATCAATACCACAAGCTGGGCCATATCGAGAAGATTCTGCCAGCAGAGGTAAGCTGCTTCCACTATACCCCTCATTTTCCAGTCGAGAAGCCTGGAAGCAACAGATCTACTCGTATTCGACCGGTGTATGATTGGAGGAGATGCAACCCGCTCCAGAGGCTACCACCCCCACAAGATACGACTACGTGGCCCAGTCTATCAACGACTCGTCTCTACCCATGGGTAGCATGGAGCGACTTGAAGAACGCCTACCTCTTCGACAGAACTCCAAAGGCTACAAGGAGAGCTCATGGTTTCATGATCTCTGAGATGGACGAGGACGGGTCGGCTACGCTACAGCATTACCACTTTAGGGGTCTCCCCATGGGTTCGAGCTCATCTGCTTCGGCGTTGCAGACAACAACGGGTATTCTAATAGAACTTGCTAACGAAAGGTCGGCTAACGAGCTCTTGAACGGTGCCGACACTGCAGATACACCTATATGGAAGGTTCTGGTCGACAACGTGGTCAACGAAGAAGAGCTTCAAGGTCTACCGGTGGAGAAGTTGTAGTACAACTGTTGTACGGTCCGAGTCCCACTGCCAAGGCCCTAGCTGATGTCCTGAAGAGGCTAGATGAACGTGCTCGTACTACAACTACACCAGAAGATGACGAGTGCCAAGTCAAGGAAGCCTACAGCGCAGTGAATATGCGTTGGGATACGTTATGGAAGAGCGGCTGCAATCGAGCGAAGTTCGTCGATGATGTGACCACCGGTGCCCAGTCGAAGGCTATCCTATCATCTCTACGAGAAGACGAGAAGACCTGCGCTGCTAGAATCGGCCCACCTTCAACGAGGTTAAGGAGAAAAGAAGTGATGATGATACGAGTGCTGAAGGCTTTGGACTGATATGGACGAGTGCACTGGATGGAGATCAACTAAAGCCCAAGAAGGTGAACGTCCC